CTTCCAACGGTTCTTATGAGTAGCAGTATGTTTGAAAGGCAACCAAGATTAGATGTTAAGGTTTAGGTTTTTGTAGTTGAAACCCGCTAGTGAGCACATAATCAGCTGCCAAACTTTATAAAGGAAATATAAAATATTATGATGCCCACAAATACCAGCTGTAAACCACTAATGTCTGCATTAGTTGAGTAACTTCAGTCACAAAGTTTAATTGACTGAGGGGGTAACCTGTGGCAGTCTGCTGCTTTGCAGCAGTGTTAGACCTACTGCGAACAGGAGGAGGAAGTGTTACATAGTAGTTCAAGGTTTTAGTCTGTGTTTCTTCAAATGGCAGACAAGCCTTGAGGGAGAGCATGCTGGAGCAGGCACGTGTTCAGAAGGTGAACACTGCTTTCTAAAACAGAGACAGAGACGGCAGTTATCAGTTAAATCCTAAATGGTCTAGGCAAAGTGAGCTTCATGAACAATGGCTCTCTTCAAGTTAGAGCATCGTCCAAGTAATTTCACTTACAGAAATGGAAGCCTTTGACTTGCACACTAACCTTCAGAAGGCATTAATAGAATGGTTGCTATTATGTATACAGAGTAAGGTGGGCCAGTCTGCGGGAGTAGAGGAGAAAGCAGTCTCAAGATATGTATTGATCAAGGAATGTTAAAATCTTCAGAATAGGGCATTGCAGGTTTCACCTGAGGAAGAATGTTGAATAGCAGGAGTGTTCCTGGGGCTGAAAGTAGAGAGGAATAGAGCTGGTGTGTGAGACTGGTCTCAGGCTGGGTGGAAGGTGTGGTGTGGTGGGGAGATTGCTGTGTATTGTGGCAGGAATGTGGTTCTGCATGTAGTCATTTAACCTGAGTAAAGCTATGCTTTGGAATTAGGTCTTACAAAATGGACAGAAGTGGGGCCAACGACACTCTGTTGCCACATACACCTCAACTGTCTCCTGCCTGCCTTGGAGAACTCTGACTATCTTAATGCTGTGTTTTGCTAGACCCTCTGTGATATAGAGACGAGGGAAAACTTCTGAAGGAATGGCATGAAAAGCAGATGGGAAACAACATGCAAGTAAAGCACAAGCTGTTTATGCGTGGCTTATTTCAGATTTAATTCTTTCCAATGCTTCCTGCAATCGGGTCATGCTGGCGCACCAGTGAGTAGTTAATGATGCACTAGGGTGGAAGAACTGAACTGAGAACAGAAGAGGAAATTAAGCTGGAAAATCTGAAAAATGTAGGCAGTGATTCAAAGGTATTCCTGGGGAAAAGCACGATTCAATCAACAGGATCAAGGCAGTGGAAGAAAATGGCTGGTACATGCAATGGCGGTGGATGTTTTGTGGGTTTTCTTTAATGGACGTTTTTAAGGCATAATTGACACAGGTCAACCAAGGATACTGGCTGTCTTGTTCATTTAGCTGAAATGTAGGGATTTCTCCCCCCATCTCCTTTTAGTACCCATTTGTGCTTAAGAAAATGGGTTTCTTGACAGGAAAATGTTTCTTCTATTACTTAACTATGTCCTATGCAAAGATGCATAAACAAAATCCTAAAATTTTATCTGTTTTTAAACAATTTTATGACTTAAGAATTTTATTAGTATTACTTTGACATTTATCAATAGCAATCAGAAACAGATTATATAGAAATATTACAAAACACTTGTTGATTCACTCCAGTCTATTATTCATGCTTCAAATACTGTTAATGTCTTGCTTATACCTTAGAAACACCCACTGTAGGATTGATGCAAAAAATACTATCTCTCTCTATAAGGCTTCTGTTTTTAATGGAAGAATTCAGTCAAGAGTTCTCATTATGGACAATTTGTAGAATTATCGGTTTGAATTTTAGGGGTTGGTTGGTCTGTGTGTTTTTTTTTTTTTAAGTAGCCCTTAATCTCTTCTTTCTTTTTGTTGTCTGTGGCAAATTAAGATGCTGTGGAAAAGATGGAGATCTTGAACTGCAGCTGGTTTGTCCCTGCCACAAATCTTGTAGACATCTAGGCTGGGATTTTGTCAGTGTGAAGTGTGAGTGTAATCATCGTCACTGTAGGCTTCTAAGCACCAGATATATACCTGCAGTTCTGAAGCAGCTCATACTGTATTAAGTTCTTGGGTTGAGTGGGTTTTTTAGCTTTTCAGTTCCAGTAAGTGAATGCACCAGCATGTTAAAATGACAGTAAAAGGAGCTTAATTCCATATCTGTTTGCATCTGAGATTTAGGGAACATATCGGAAAACAATTATGTATGTTAGAAATAGGAAATATTTCTTCAGATGAGTACTATTGCCTGTACTCATCTAAATATCTACAGTTGTGATAGGTGGAGGGTAGTGTTTGTATTAGGAAAAACCTCTTTATTTTCATGGTTAGAAGCATTTGGGGAAGTTGTTAGATTATAAAGTCAGTCCTGTTTCTTCTATGCGTATTGAAAACATACCCTTTAACAAGGTGAAACTTCAAAATACATAACTGCCTTTATTTGATGATGTGGTCCACACTAGAAAAATTGCATTTGTTACCATGACAATTAGTTTTCATTTCATGCCTTAGAAGAATATTACTTCACGTCTGCAGAAAAAATATGATCTTGATTGAAAACGAATATTCATTTATGCTTGGACACTCACGTATTTCTTAGTAGTAGTTCTACCCTGCTAATAGGACCTCACCTGAGGTGGGAAAAGACTAGCTTAAGTGGCAGCCGTACCAGAAAGCTTTTGTGGAACTGCATGTGTGATGGGGAATTACTGGAAATTGTGCAGCCAGGAGCACTTTTCCGCCGTGCAGGCTGGGATGTGAATGATTACAAATGATTAATCTGTTCTCAACACTTGAAGAGCTTTTGCAGTGTTTGCTATATTACTTGCCAGGCACTTAGAAGCATCCTAGACAGCCATCTATGCAGCGTTTCTGCAAATACAAATGTGACAGTCGAGGCATTCCTGTGAGTTCTGATTTCTTCACCTTTCTTGGGTTCCTTTTTGTACCGAGATAATCACCTTGAAACTGCTCTTAGTAACACCCGTCTGATTTTCAGAAAGCATTTCAGGGTCGAGGTTAGTGCAGGTGTCAGATGATTGACAAGCATACTTAAAAGTAATACTGTAATCTATAATCTTTTTGTTATTGAATTTTACTAGAAATGGGAGAGAAGTGGAACCTTTTAAATACAAGAGAGTTGTATCCCAGTGCACATTAATGCAGGAGCCATAGTAAAAGTAAATTGCATAGGAAAAGCCTCTACTTCCCGCTGTGGATCTGTGATCTCATAGTCTTTTTAGAAAATGAATGCCTAGCCTAATGGCTATTTTTTCCTATTAGATTATTTTCATTTGATGGCAGTAGAGTGCGGAATTTATCACACCGTGCTGTTTACAATGCCTGATCTCTAGAAAAATACTGACTGTTTTTTGGCATGAAAACTGTTACCCCAAAGGCTTGTATTTGTGAAATTCAGCAGCTTTTGGTAGACATGAGATGGGAGTCAGAATTAAAAAAAGGTTCCTCTAATAGTAGAAAATTGATTTCTCATGAAAGGCTCTTTGTATCCAGCGGAACTGACACTTGGAACTCATTTGTAGTGACCTGATGGAGAGTATCTGGTTTTATTAATTGTAAGTTTGCTGCATATTGCTTATTCTGTTAAATAAGCATGGCTGAAACCAAGGAAGAAAGATGAGCTGCGTGTCTTGTCTCTCTCTGTTAGCGCTAGGGTAGGTAGGAACATCTGCACAGAAAGAAACTACAAAGAAACCCCAAACCCCAATCCCCAGGACATGTTCAACTGGGAGAACTGTAGTGGAGTCTAACAGAGCAAGTCTAGGAGACAGAAAACAGCAACTCAGGAGCACCAGAAGGTATTTGGGATACTCTTTTGAAATGAAATGACAGAAAGACTCGTTTCGTTGGGAAACAAAAGGGATTATTCTTGGTTGTCTGTGACTCTAAAGGCTCCAAAGTTAGTGTACTGAGAGCTATCCTTCAGTATAAGATCAGTCTTGCAAGGAGAATTAGTTTATAAATACCTTTATTTTGAATTTGACTCAATTTTAAAACTAGGGTGTTTTATCTTGAATCTGTTTTAGTAAGAGATAAGTTTAAACTGGAAATTTGTATATATTTTTTGGTGTGCTCACTCCAAAGCAAAGCTGCAGACAAAAGGGCAGCTCCAGTCTGGTTAACACTGGATTTTCCCTGTTGTGGGAAAGATTCCAGTTAGTAATTTTGAATCTGGAGCATAAATTAGCACAGACTGAAAGAGAGTGCAGGAGGTAATGCTTGGTATGTGACCACACGAGGAAAGTGTGTTGGCACATAGCAGAGGTGTTAGGAAATTGAGAGTTTAAAGACAGAAGGTGGGAACTGGCAAAGGGTGAGCACACTTGGGAAGCAGGGCAGTGGGATTAACAGTATCTTCTGAAAACCAGCATTTCCGAAAAACTGGGATCAGGAGGCTGAAGGTGCTTGAAAAAAAAACCCTAAACAAATCAAAGCAAGCCAACCAACCCAACAAACCATAACCTTGCAAATCTTCCAATCATCTGGGTAGGATCACGCAGAGGAGTCACTAAAGTAAGTGTTCTCTTCTCAAGGTCTGTGTAGCTTAAGTTTCTGTGGCAGGCTAGACTCCCTTGGGTTTAGCAGAACCCCAGTTTGACCTTCATTTTGTGGCTCAATACTCTTTCAGCTGTATTACACTTATTGGGTCTTGAGTGTATTTAGCCTCTTACAAGATTGCAGTCTTGAGGGAGAAAGAAACATAGAGTGAGGACTGGTACTAGAAATAAAAATGAAAAAAACTCCTTGTATGAGAGCAATGTACTCAGAGAAGGAGGCAAAATGCATCAGGATTGATGTCTTGCTTTTTTGAGCTTTTACTGAAAACATTAGTTTGCACAGTTTGAGCAGCTGATGGATGGTCCAGTGATGGAGATACTTTCTGCTAACCAAATTTTGGAGGTCTGATACAGTGTCTGAATGCTGTTTCTTTTTCCTCTGCAGTGATCTAGAAAAAAATAACATCACAAGAATCACGAAGACAGACTTCACAGGACTGAAGAATCTCCGTGTCTTGTGAGTACAACACAAAGCTTGTCTTTCTTTACAAGACTCTTTTAGGGTGCTGGTCCTGAGAATGTCCATAGTTCTAGAGTTCGGATGCTAGTAACTTCTGCACATCATTCAGTTGTTTGTATTGTTTTAAATCAGGCAGCTGGAACAGTTTGTGTAGTGAAACAGTAAAGTTTAGTTCCATGCTGAAGTCTGAAAGTAGTTTCAGAGCTATTTGTGTTTCTCACTGGCTTTTAATCAATCTTGAGGTAAAAAGTTCAGTCCACTTGCCAATCACTGATCATAGATCAATTACACTGAAGCACTAGCAAACAGGACTTTCAGACTTAGTCACTTTAAGGTCCAGTGCCGTTAATAGCACTTTTGCAGAAGATGAAGCAGAATTTGACTAAAAGACAGCTTATTTGTATACAAGCTGCCTTGCTGCTCTTTGTCTGATATGGAGTAATAAATACAAAAAGATTTAGGTAGTGCTGTCTTTTGATCTGGAAGAGCTTAGCTGTGCTTCTGAATGGGCCTTTTGAACATCAAAAAGGCAAACATCAGTCTATAGAATTTGTCATTCTGGATTTCCTGTTTTCTCTTCTGTGAACCTCAGATGGCACCGCTAATTTAGTGATGAAAATCAGGCCTACTTGAGACATATTTATTGTACTTATACATAGAATTTTTTTCTTAAGAAAATAATCTTGGGTTAGAAGAACCAGAAATAGATTTTGAAGATGTTTCAGTTCTTTCAGGACTTTTCCCCTTTAATTTTCTTGAACAAGTAATTTAGATCCACTTCATATCAACACAGAAGCAGACCTAGATATTGAAGCTTCTGCCAGAAATACTGTGGGGATCTTCTATTTGCTTCGTGAAAATTAAGTTCATTGCATTACTTTTATATGTAAAATCCAGTATCTAGCTTTAAACATTTGGGCATGTATGAGAGGGTGGAGGAAAAAAGGCAGATGAGAGATTTAGAATAGTTTTGAATGTAGTGTGCTGAATTAGTTGAGGCTGAGCCCTTAGGAACTTGGTGTTTCTGGAGCTCTCATTTAAAGTAACTCTTGGTTTCTGCCTTCACTGGGCTTGTGTTTGGTCACTGAGTGACTGAATGCTGCTGTTGGGGTGCAAATGTGCAAGCTTCTCAATGAGAAACATTGATGTGTTATCGAGGAGATTGTATATACATGTGTGTTCATAAGCAGTGGCTGAGATGTTTATATTGAAAACGTTTCTGAAACATCCAAGTTATTTATGTTGACAGTAACCAATGGATTAAGCTCAAATTTCTAATCTTATTTTAAAAGAAACAAGAATTGATACCTAGTTCTGTTTAGCAAGTTGCATGATAGTGACTACATTCTGTGTGTGTGGTGTGTAGCTCACCAGTCGTACGTCACTAAACCATTGCACTCTAATTCCAAGTTTTAGTGACAGAGACAGAAACCTAATCTTGAGTTGGTCCCAGCGCTGGCAGAGGCAGGTTCGTTTAGCACTCTGTTGACCCCTTCTGAAACAAACAGCTATCAAAAATCAAGAAACACCCAAGTAATCTGTCCTGGTTTAAGCCCAGCCGGTAACTGAGCACCACACAGCCGCTCACTCACTCACCTTTCCCCCCAGTTTGGGATGGGGAGGAGAATAGAAAGAATATAAATCCCATGGGTTGAGACAAGAACAGTCCAATAACTAAAGTGTAATACAAAACTGCTACTACTAATAATAATGAGAAGGGAAATAACATGGAGAGAGAATATAAAACTAAAAAGGGAAAGGTAAAAAACCAATAAACAGAAGTGACACAAGCCTGATACAGCCGCTCACCACCCGACGACTGATACCCAGCCTGACACAAACAGTGATCTGCCCTTGTGGGTAACTCCCCCCAGGTTTTATACTGGGCATGACGTGCTGTGGTGTGGAATACACCTTTGGCTCGTTTGCATCAGGTGTCCTGGCTCTGCTTCCTCCTGGCTTCTTGTGCGCCTCCTCACTGGCAGAGCATGAGATGGAAAAGTCCTCGATCAGAGTAAGTGCTACTGAGCAACAACTAAAACTTTGGTGTGTTATCAGCATTGTTCTCAGACTTAAAACGCTCAGATGTAACACACTGCTTAACACAGTGCTACTTAACACACAGTAGTGCTGCACCAGCTACTGGGAAGGAGAAAAATAACCAGGACATGACCAGCTGCACCCAGGACATAATCTCACCAGCTCACTGGAGATTCCTTTGTGTAATTCTGAGGATTGCCCTCTGCAGTCAATGTTTTACTTTGAGTATCTTCTAAAATAAGCCTTAAAACTGCACCTGTTGAACTGTTACAGATACTTGGTGATAATTCAGTGAATGAATGAATTGAATTGAGATCAGTCTTTTCTCCTACTACCTCAACACTTTTGAGCAAGTTGTCATATACTAAGAAAACGTTTCAAATCTATTGGAAGACTTTTTGTTCCTGTGGTGTTTCTCTCCTCTCTAACAGTGGAATTACTTAGATTTCCTTGGCTCCCATCCCAACTGTCAATACCAGTTTGCAAGTCTATTGAAATGCATGTACTATATTATCGTTAGTGTCAGTAGTTGTCTTGGTTTGGTTGAGTTTTTTATAGTGTCAGACATTGTCTAATGCTGTTGCAGTCATTTATCCTGAATGCCCGTAACAATAAGCAAAATAAGGCTTGCCATCTTTACATGATGTTTCTTTTTGTTCTGTATGCAGTACAGGTTTTTGTAACATGTTCATTCAGTCTTTGAGGAGTGAGGTGTTTGCTATACAAGTCATAAGAAATAAAACCAGAATGTACCCATTAAAAACAGATCTATCCCCATGTGCAATGGGGATATAGTTGAAAGCACAGAAACATAAAACATGTCCCAGAGTTCCTAGAAAGGAAGTCTAGTTCTCTTTTCGGACAAAAAACAAATGATCTGGAAACGGGTAGAATAGTGCAACAGAAACCAGCTTCCAGTCTCAAACTGACAACATACATGCAAAATATTCCTTTGTGCATGTTTTCCTTTTAGCCCTTGTAACTTCATCGTGTTTCGCTTTCCTTGTGCAGTTTTTCTTACCCCTCCTTTTAAGAGCATACCTCTCTGCTTCACATGTTTGGGGTTTCTAAATTTCACTTTTTGATCTTCTTATGTGGTTTTAGCTGTGGAATACTCTCTTGCTGTCTCTCTTCTCAACTGCTATCCAGTTGAACCGCTCTGAGCATCTCATAGGGTTGGGAGTGGAGGAGTGGCTGTTGGGAACAGGCAAAAACGCTGCTTTTTGCACGAGTTAGTCTTGGCTGAGCCCAGACTTACTATGTGTCAAGTTCTTCCTTTCTGTGTTACAGCTAAAGCCACATAAAATGTTCAGAGGGCCTAGAGACCAAGTCTATGTATGTGAATGCTCTTACAGAAGCAGAATATGGGTGTGTGAGAGGAAAATTTGGCTTAAATGGAGCTGTTGGTCTTTCTATTCCTTGGCTTCCACTATACCTCTAAAGAGCATTTCAGCTGTGTAAATGAACAGTCGTTTCCTGTACAGTGTGAATCAAAGAGGAGCGAGTCTCCATTGCTTGTAACTTCTCCTTGTCTTAGTCTCAGAGGTGAAAAAAGGCTGGGTCAGATGCAGTGGAAACCAGGGACTCTTCCCTTAGGGTTTTACACCATGTTGTACGGCAGGACTATACAGGGCTGTGACACATAGCTGCCGTGGCTGTATTTCTAGAGGGCTTGAACCCCTTTGGATTGCTTATGAGTGGTTTACTCTGGGTCAAGCCTGAAGTTTTTGCAGAACACAAAGCCTGGACAAAAATATATGTTGACATTGAGTAGGTTCCTGCTATGGACTGTAGGAGTCAGTTATCTCAATTGCATTACATAAACAAAGAGTAATATACTAAAGATGTAACAATCAGCTTCAAGACAAACACCTTTCTGAGCATAATGGTTATGGCTATAAAAGTTTAGGAACAAAAACAGTTCCCAAATCTGGCAGTCAGGAGGCAATGTTTGACTCACTTTCTTGTTACTGACCAAGAGAAACAGTGCCATGTTTTTAATCATCTCTGATTATAACTGTTACTTGTACTTCTGTGAAATGGCTTTGTAGCATATGTGAAGAGAAGCAGGGAAGCTTTTGTATTCTGTTGTCTTAAAATTAACTTTTTTCTGGAATTGCAGACACTTAGAAGAAAATCAGATTAGCGTGATTGAACGTGGAGCGTTTCAGGATCTAAAACAACTTGAACGGCTGTAAGTATGTCTATTTCTATATCTGTGGGAAATCTACAGGTTTTCTACCTCACTGTTAATGGTCATTTACAGTATTTCATGATGATAAAGTAAACTTCTTTCAAGAAAAGAGAGGGGTGCCTGTTTAAATTCAGATACGCTTTTAAACCCCATTGAATTTATATTGCATGATACTTAATAGTTGAAGTAAAATGTGTAATTGCTTGCCAAGAAAATGTAACTGTCAGTGACACCAGAATCTTAATAACATTATCAAAAGGTCATTATCTGGGCAACTGTTTAGATTGGTATGTAGGTGAAAGAAGATATGTTTATAACAATTTCATATTATATGTAGATTATATATTTGTATTCATCTATATATAAAATCTATGCTAATGGAAATTGAAGTTGTCTCTTCTGAGAACAACAGTATTTCTAACACATAATTTTCTCCTTAGCTTCATTTGCTTTCAAGTTGCACAATGCCAGTGATACTAGTGAATGCCAGGGTATAATGCAAGACTTGGTGGAGATGACATTTTGGTTTTCCTTTCCTTTTGGCAGCAGTTTAATTTATTAAAAAAAGGTGACACTAAGAGGGGTCTTAATCCAGGATCTGATTTATAGAAACTACTGGCCCTGCAAGCGGATAAACTTCAGTATCAGGAAGTACCACAGTAGTGCTATATCCAATTGCTCCTCTGAGCAGTCTGTACTGTTTAGCATTGTCATGAAGCTGTAAACTGACATACTTCTGAGAATTACTCTTTGTTAGAGGTAGGTGACTAGCATAAAATCTCATGCTGGTTCGGAGCACTGTTTGTTAAATGGAGAAGCAGGTTTTTGTGCTTGGTAACTGTTACCTGCAAGGCATTTGTTGCAGGACTTGGTGTTTTCTAATTCTTATTTTCTAAAGCATCTTTCAAAAGTTAAGTTCCCACTAGAGATTGAGAGAAGTGTGGAGTATTGAGCATATACTGTACTAAAACTGTTTCAGATGGGCTCAGAATTAGATTCTCATTTAAGTTGTTTAACTAGTGCATTGAACTTTTTACGTGAATTTACTCAGGGTTTTGGTCTTGAATTTCAAAGCTCCATTTATGGCAATAAGGGAGGTGAATTTTAAATTGTGATTATAACCCATTTTTACCTATATTCAGTTAGAAAGCACTTTCAGGAAAAGAGTTTCACCAGAGCTGATTTCTCTCATGTTTCCTGGGCAATAAAGAATGAACAGTTTAATTTTCCAAAATTAAGCATAGCCTGACACTGTAGAAAACAGTTTGTTCATGTTATATGTCATCTGCGCAAGTCAGTATACTGAATGCATCGTAGTTTTAAGCTCATTCTATATATATATGTATGTGTGTGTCTATATATCTAAACAAACCTTTCTCTATTTGGACAGAGATAGATGTAGTTAAACTATGGAATGAGTTCAGAAAATATCTGGGAGAAGGGCTAGCTGTTAGAAACCAGAAATAATACTCAAATGTTATCTTAGTGTGTTGTTTTCTGAAGATCCTGCTCTTTTAGCAAGTGAAAATCATTATTTTGTGAAACCAGAAGTTAGGAAATGTGAAACCTTTGATAATGTCTCTTTAAGGATGTGAGGTTTCAAAGTCTCTCTCTTTTTCCTGTGTGGACTCTTAACTTGGCCTGTTGAACATACTGCATCTCTGCTTCTCTTTTAGGATTGCCTGTCATTAAAATATTTCCTAAATTAATGTAGTTATGAAAGGGAGGCCTGGAAACTTGCAACTTTTTTGTATTTTAGCTTAAATCATTTTTAGGACAAAACTATGAGTCAGTAGGCTTTGGAGAATGAACTGTGGAAAGTTTGGCATAACTTATAAAGGCTAAATTGCAACATTTTAGGTAATATTAAAGCTATTTTATTAAGTATTGTCAAACATTGCAAAATGTTAATGAAGAAAGTATGCTGTTTAAATTTTAAAAACCTGGCTTTTTTCCATTTAATTTCTTTCAAATAACAAATAAAAATTGCTTATACTGCTTCGATTTTGGAATAACATTCCTTTTTGATCTATTGAAGTAGATGCAAAAGTAATCATTAACTTTTGAAACACAGCAGCTGCATTGAGTCAGACTTGAAAAAAACAAGAGTAATTTCTATTCCTGGCAAGATACCATATATAAAGGTCTTCCATTCAAAGTAACAGTGGATGTATATTGTCCTACACCCGCCCCATGGTGATCATTCAAAGGACATACCCTTAGGCCAATATTATTTTAGTACAATATATTTTCACTTGTCTGGATAGTGAAGCAAATCCATCGTTATTAACGGAGTAAATGAACAGAATTCTGTCCTGTGTAATAGTAAATTTTCAGTCAGATGTCTGTAAAGCTCTTGGCCACTGCTGCCACAGGCACCAGGATGGTGCTTCTCCAGGTGTTTGGATTTGACTCTGACTTTTGTTTTTGTGGGAGATTAGTGCTCCCAATACCAGTTGGAGTCTCTAAAGGCATTGTTTAGATACAGAGCAGCATATTGCCAAAATTTTATATTAGCTTAATAAAGCTTGTCAATATCAGCTGAAGGAAGCGCATAGTGCAATTGATGGTAAAATGACGGATGGTACAAGGTTAAGAAATAATGTGGAATGTAGAAGCCACTTCTAACTTTAGCATGTTTGTACTCGGCTTTCCAAAGGCGCAGGAATTTTAGCCATTGCCTCTTAGTAAATTCAGTGGTTTGAGTAATAGAAGTTATTTTGCAGAGTCCTAAGAATTCTTCAGAATGACCAGTCATACTTACCACATTGGAAAACCAGAGGTGTTTCTAGTGGGTTTATTCCAATAAGTTTCTATAGTTCTATTCCAAAATACAAAGATTTGTGGTGAGGTAGTTGACCAGAAGAAGTTAAGAGGCAACATTAATGGATATAATTGGTGCATACCACTTACTACCCTCTACTTGTTGCACTGGTGTTGAGCCTCAGACAAGCCAGCAGTGCTTTGGTGCAGTGCAATACTGCGCCGCTTGCCAAGCCTATGGTTCAGTATGACTTGTGTGTGTCCATTGTCTCCTCTCAGGCTTGTTAGCTTCTCCTCAGGCTTCTCTAGTGATCACCTTTCCTTTAGCTCTGAAGTGCTTCTTTCCCCAAAATGCTCCTGGCTGATGTTGAACGACAGACTGGGCCGGGCAGATGTGTGCATCTGTTCAGTAAGTGGTTAAGAAGCTATGGAAATGTTCTGCTAAACTTTACAGTGCCACTTGTAAATTGTCGTAGTCATGTCCTTCTTGCCAGTAGCAGGGGAGCAGTTTCAGAACCACACCTTGTGCCTGTTGTGCGTGGAAGGCTTCAGAAGCTCCAGTTCTTTTTTAGCTAGTTTCCTTCTGCACTGTTTTTTTTCCCTTAGTAGTTAACTGTGAAAGGTCTGACTTTGATCCTCTTCCCTGGTTTTGTTTTTGGTGGTTTGAAGTAGCGTACATATGCCTGTACAAACACAGTGCTATACTGGTACAAAGTGTTACACCCACATTGATTTTGGATTTTAGCATTTCAGCTGTATGCTTTGCTATTAACACTCTGTATGGTTTAAAGATAAAATGATTCTGATATTCCATGTACAGAGGGGATCAAGAAGAAAGAGGCATACTGGTGGGCCTAAAAGATGATCTGAGATTTTTTCCAGAGCCAGATGTATGGCACACATTTATGTGAAAAATGAGGCAGGATATAAGACACCAACAGATCCTGACTTTTCCACAGCCAACTGCCAGAAATTGTCACGTAGCTGCATTATCTTCAAAAGGCTGGACTTTGGCTGATGGCTGGTTCTTTCTACTCAAATTAGTGTCTGTAGCTAGCATAAAAGATCTCAACATCTGAAAATACTAAAAATATGTTTTGTTGTTTAGAGGAGGGGGGGAATGTGTAAGCATGGCCAAATCAAATCTTTTCTAAGTTGGAAAAAATGATTAGCTTTAACCAAATGAAAAACTAAAATCCAGATTTTAATCCTTGCCTATGCATGTATGGGCTTGATTTTGTGCTAAGACAGAGTTCAAAATGGAAGTTGCGTTTGACCTTTAACTGCAGAGATGCTATTGTGCATTGGGCCTTTGTAACTGGTTTCCCAAATGCTTGATTAAGGTATTAAAGTGTATTTATTTGGCATAGTGTGCTGTAAGATTGCTCTTAGTGACCAGAGATGCTAAGGAGAAGAATAAATTGCTTTGTGATGCTTCACAATCTGGATTTCATAAATTGAGATTGAAGAGGCTTTAAATAAATCATGTAATACAAAAAGCATCTTCCGTAATTAACATGCTGAGTGGAAAGATTGCTAAGTGCTTCAGAGGAGGGGCAAAACAATGAAAGCATTGGACAGTTCTTTGCTGTTGTAAACAAAGGCTTATTGCGAGTCTTTGGCAGCCTGGACAGATCTATAGTGTTTATACAGGCTTTGCAGTGTGTGCAGTGTAGATGCATTTCTGGAACTGTGTCCACAACCCGTATTTATGAAGCTGTATGCATTTGCAAATATCTAAGACAGTTTGAATGTAACCTTTCAGAAAAAAAGCTTTATTCTTTTATGTCTGCATTTCCCTATGACATTATGGATAGCATATCTAATTGGAGATCAGTGATCATAAAATGCTTATCTGGAAACGCTGGAGAACAAAGACACACTAAAATGGATTTAGAGCTGTGATCTGATGTTTAATCAATTTTATTACTTGCACACTTTCCTCTACCTTCTCAAGCTACCACATGTAAGTTGGTGTAGTACCAGGTTTGCTACCAAACTCTCCAGGATCAGGTGGTGCTTCAGGAGTGAGGATTGATAGCCTTGTGCCTGTGTTCTGCTACCCAGGCAGCTCCTGACACTGGACCTTCCCCTCTGAGGAGGATATGAATGGCATGAATTGGGGCTGCTTGGAGGCATGTTGAAGGTGCAGTGTCTTTGCATTTTGGAAGGATGGGTTTCTTTGCTGTCAAAGACGATAGCATTGCCCATTGATTCCTGAGGAACCAAGTATAGCA